CAGGTCTTGCTGGACTCTGGCCAGACTCTGGATCAGCCTGGACTCCGGATGGACTCCGGCCAGACTCTGGATCAGTCTGGACTCCAGCTGGACTCCAGTCGGACTCTGGCTGGACTCTGAATCTGGTTGGACTCCGACTGAACTCTGGCTGGACTCCAACCGGACTTTGGATCCGGCTGGACTCCGACTGGAATCCGTGTCAACCTGGAGTCTGGATCCGACTAGACTCCAGCTGGAATCCTGCCGGACTCCAACCGAACTCTGGATCAGCCTGGAATCCGACTGGATTCTGGATGAGCCTGGCCTCCGGGTCAGCCTGGACTCTGGCTCCGGCCTCCAGCTGCCTCAGCTTATGCCGCCACATCGTTTCCTATAAATAGAGCAGAACATCTATCGCCTTCCCTCCTGGCTGCGGCTGCCAGAGGCTATGAAAAGCCCAGCCGGGGCAGCTGGACCCCGGGGTGGACGGAGGGTTCCCAGTCCCAGTCTGGGTCTGCCTAATGGGCAGGAACCTCTCCGGCTAACAGCCCGACCGGACGGTAGAAAGCTGCTGCCTCCGTGGACGGATTACAGAGCAGCCCCACTCAGCCCAACCCCAGAAACCCACAGTTTAGAGGGGCCCCGGAGTTAATCCCTCAAGTGAAACGCACCCCTAACAGAGGCTCTTAAGGAGGAAAGTCACACACTGGAAGCTTTTACATGGATAGGGATGTTCCGATCCGATCCCGGCCTATCAGAGCATGTGTTAAAGTCTAAAGTTATTTATCTACTTACTTAGCTGTCAGACTCATGTTGAACAGGGATTTACTCTGATAACAACTTAATGGTTAGGACACAGACCTGTGGGTTACAGATGCTAATGCTAATGCTAATGCTCTGATAACAACTTAATGGTTAGGACACAGACCTGTGGGTTACAGATGCTAATGCTAGTGTGGGATCAGATATCCGACTGAACATGGGGTACAGATTTTTCCAGAGGACAGAGAGATGCAAACCAGTCAAACTGTGTAGCAGAAAAGCCCAAAACGAACGGGGTTGTCTTTAAAAAGACGAGAGATTTGACAGTTTGTGTCACTAAACAAACAAAAACGGAGGAAAGGTTTCAGAAACCGACTTAAAAGTGAAGTGAAATCAACACAAAGCGCTCAGAGGGACCGAAAGTAAGCAGAGTGAGAAGAGAAACGACCAGAAAAAGGTTTTTAAAATCCAAAATGATATCCCAGAAGAGCTGATTCTGGTTTCAGACTTATTTCGTTTATTTAGATGCTGTGTTTTCGCACCGGGTCGATCCGGGTCAGAACCAGCCGGTCCGGGTTCAGCTCCAGACCTGGACAGAGCCCCCCTTTCCCCAGCAGGTCCAGGTCTTCTGGGCTTTGGGCTCAGCTGGAAACGGGCTCAGA